AGGGGGAGCCCAGCACCCCAGCCATTACGCTGACTGCTGGTTCCCGGACCGCCATTTTCTCAGTGACGGCCGACTGGGCACCAGAGCAGTTTCACAGAGCGCGTTTCCGTCCGCGGTGTGGCTGCCATTCCTTACACTATTTGGGGCAATGTTCCCAACGTTCGCTTTAACCGTTGCTTCGTCATCTGCCCAGGTCATCTTAAAGGCAGAGCATTTCCGTGGAAGACGTGGAAGGGCGTGAGTACTAAAGACGGCCGTGGAAACAAGTCGGTTTCTCAGCTACGGTCACTCCTCCGTCCACCCATGAACCTGCGTTTTTATCTTAGAAGGCACAAAGCACTCAGAACACGGCAGTGGAGGTGGCCTTCTTCAGGGGCTGCACCTTCCTGGTCCCTGGTGAACTCAGCAGCATGACCGGCAGCCGTCCTCTGGCCCAGGCTCTCCCCGTGCCCATGCAGCCTGCACTCGGAGCCAGGGCTCTGCACTCGGAGGAAGCCCTCCCCGTACTGCCCCCTCCTCCTGGGACGTCCTGCCATCGCTCTCCGCCTGGCCTGTTCCTTCCAACCCCACTCAGGTGCCATTTCCCGCTCAGCCTTGCTCAGCCCTCTCAGCTCCCCCGTGTTAAACGTTCTGGGGCTTAGGCACACTGAACGGTCATTACATAAATCCTATCTACTGGGTACCGCAGGTCAGAGGCCAGGCCATGCCTGCTTTTGGGTTTCCACCACATGGCATGAGGAAGATGCTCAGCGAGTGAGTAACGAACGGAACAAGTCAGAACGAAAGCCTTTTTGGTTGAGACTGGGCTTTGAGCTGATTCTAGACGAGCAGCTCTAGTAGAAGCTGCTTCCTATTTCGAGTTCAAGAATCACGCAAGGAAAAACAAAAGCTGGATTCTGGCACAAGGGAAGATCGAGCTTCTCTGGGCCAAACGTACTCCTATCCCAACCAACGAGACCTGGGGACACCTTCCCTTGGTGTGCTGTGCTGGCGAGTTAGCTCGGAGCCCCAGCTCAGCGAGAGGAGTACTCGGAACGCCCAGCTAAACCACATGGCAAATGAACAGAGGCATACGGAGCCTGGTCTCAGACCATTAACCCTTGAGGATCAAGGCCTTCCAACTGAACTTCCATCCACCCATGACAATTCCTTCAGGTATCGGTCAGTTATTTATTCATTTAAAAACTTTTTTTAGTAAGAGAGATTTTTCCTATAGGATATGTGTGCTTGCCAGAGAGACAGAGAGACAGAAAGCGGGAAATCACCCCCCACCCGGGGAGAGGGGTATGGCCACACCAAAATCCCTCCTCCTCCATTCTCCTTTAAGAATTTGGGGCATGCATGCACAGGCACCCGGTGTGAGTTTTAAGCCTCCAGGTCTGGG